AAACAAAAAGTACCGATAAGAATACCGTTAAAGTACCGAATCGATAGGCAGTATCGGTAAGAGTAGTAATACCGTTAAAATCTTAACGATACCCATCCCTATGTGCTACTGTCCTATTTCAACCCTAATCAAACACACCTGAACAAGCTAACATGGTCTTCAGAATTACTAGTAAATTACAGGCAGATGAGTGTGATCAGGGTTAAAACTAAACTTTGCATGACAGTGGCCCTCCTGGAGTAGGATTGAAAAACCCTCCCTTAGCAACTGCATGACATTGCACTGTAAACACACACTAGCAACTTGATAGCATTATCCTGCCAACCACCTATAATACTGATCAGATTTTTCTGAGAAAATGTAAAAACTTTAGTTTGTTCTTTCTGAGAAAATGTAAAAAATCTAGTTTGTCGTCACTGAATTTAATCTGTCACACACTGTTTTTCGTATAATATTTGACGGTATTTCTTTGTTTCATGGCAGGTGATAAATCTGTCCCACCTAAGCTTGAGCCATCTGTTTCTGTGCCGCCCTTCATTAATGCGGGATGTCACTCTGAACCACCCAAACTGAAACCCATTGAACCCAGTCCCGACAAAAACCGGCACCACCAGGATGGCATTTCCCAGCCATTCAATGGACACTCCCATCTGCAGTTAGAGGACAGCGATGTCAGTGTATTAGCTACATCAACTCTGGCCGAGCCATCAAGCCCAGTAAACCGACGAACGTCTGTGCTTTTCCACAAATCAAAAAGCACAAGCCCTCATAAGCCCATGAGAGGTGGTGAAACTCCAAAGGGCAGTTCTCGACTAGGCACAAAAACATTCTTGTCAGTCGTCATACCACGCCTAGAGACATTACTTCATTCTAGGAAGAGACCACGGAGTACCAGTAGAGACAGTGTTGAGGACGAACCGCCCATCAAACGCCTGGACCCAGGTAGAAACTGCAGGAAAACAAACAAAAAGGGCAAGACATATATACAGTATGATTGATATAAATGCACATTAATAATAAATGCACTTTTTTGACAGGCCAAAGTGCATTGAAGGCTTTTTAGAATCAGGTCACTAGAATTGCATCATGGGAAAGTGTAATATCGGGTGATTTCCTGGGTCAAACAGTGGTCTTGCGTGTTAGTAATAGACATGTGCTGTGTGATTTGTCATATAAACAACCTGTCTGCTATTAAAGCCTCACAAAGCGAAGTAGTTCCAAGGAAGCACAGTAGTAACCACTACTGTGCTTGCTTGAACTACTTACCTTTGTGAGTTTCTTTATTAGTTTCAACACTAGTTTCATTAGATTAAATGGGAAGGATTTCTCTCTTTCTCTTTTCCTTGTGTCTTTCAGGGCTGTCAAATGGTTTTAATCTGGAGCCGGAGAAAGAGTTGGATTCTAGTAGGCAGTTGGAGCCTCGGCGCAGGTGCTTATCTGAATCCAGCATGTCCTCCAGCAGCAGGTGGGTTGTTGACAAGTACTTTTGAAAGGATGCAATGTACAGAGGTGACATGCTATATTCCATCAAAAATGATTTTCAACAGCATTTTGCTTATTTCATGTCTCGCAAGGAATATTAAAATGATGTGAAGACAAATTAAATGGTGTTTAGAAAAGCTGCATCATGTGGGGGAAAATCTAATTGCGTTTTTCTGAATTTTGAATTGCTATTGTCATTGCCAAAAATAAAATACAGGTTTGCTGTGTTTGTTTTTAGGGCTATACAATTTAGCCAAAATTTAGTTATGGTGTATCAATATGCCTATGAAACCCTAATTTAATACTGTTTAACATCCTCACTAAAAAGCTGTAGTGGATATTTTATGTAGTGGATCAAAACCTTTCATCAAAGTTGTCCTAAAACCAAAATGCCTTCTTGTCTTAGGTTAACTTTGATTACCTTTTTTGATCCACTTCAAATGTTGACTATATATATATATATATATATATATATATATA